TGACCTGCTGCATTATTTTAAGTAGTATTTTGGCTGTCCTAAAACCTTCTTCAAATATTTTTGGAGAAAATAGAGCAAAAAAGGTCAGGTATTGCATCAGTGCTCTTCATTAGCCTTAAATGGTGCAGTTTAAAATGTTCTTGTTTGGTCACAAGGGCCAGTAATGTTTGGCCCCTCGGTTTATTAAATTCATGTTTATTTATAAAGCACTTTTTACAATGTAGATTGTGTCAAAGCAGCTTAACATAGTTCTACTTAAGTCCAGATTTATATAGTCCAGAGTATATCTCTGGTCTTGTGTCATAACATGCATCTAGTAACCTTTGTTTGTCTAACAAATTACAGTTGGTTGTTCCCAAACTAAAAGATGACTGCTTTTTGGTGTCAGCTCCACATAACTGGAATAATTTACAATTTGACAAAGTCTGTGTTTATGTGCCACTTTTATAATTGCTTTTTAAAACTCATTTAAATGCTTTTGCAATTCTTAAGCAGTTTTTTTATGACCTAACTTAGCCTATTTAAGGGCAATTCTTTAACTACGGGAACTTTTAGTCTTGTGAAGTTAAGTAAAAATAATTGTTATAACTGAAGTGAGTGACTATAACCTTCAAAAATACCAAACGATTTGTAATTAGAATTTGTTTGAGTACAAATAGACCAGTGTTAGGTAAAAAAAATTGAATTCATTCGCAACTTAGTACACACATTTAGTTATTGATATATTTATTATTTTAGTGATATATTCCTTTCTTTATTGAATTTTCAAGGGAACTAACAATACATTAACATTTACAGGTTAATTCAACCTCACCTGACGTTCACAAGTTCTTTTTTGTTGTTTTAATGCTGTTAAAATGTTATATAATAGATGCTATTTGTTTAGTATAGAAAATGGCCGTCTTTCGCGCCCTTAGTGCAGCCGTTAGAACAGGGGCAGATTAATGCCACCCAACTTCAAAACAGCATTCTCTGCTTGAACATGGTAACGTTAGTAATACTGTTAAAGCAGAGACGTTTCAATTCTCACTATTCAGATCAATTAAGTTAACGGATTAACAAAAATAATATACAAAAAGTAAAAACTTTTCCCCGTGTGGCTTTCTCCATTTTAACGGTCAATTACGACCACTGCTTAATTTGAATTCAAAGTCTTACGCCTGTTTCACACCGCAAGCGTCAGCGGCGCGTGAGCAGAGCGTGAGCAGAGCGTGTGTTTTCGGCGTCCATGTTAACAGATTACAGCTTTCATACCGCACGCAGCAGCAGCGCGTCAGTGCGAGGCGTGAGCGTCGCCGAAGCAGCAGTGCAGCGATAGTTTCGGCGCTGGGTCTATTTTTGACGCGCTGCTCACGCTCAATTAAAGTGACAGTGCATTGATAATGACCAAAACACATCGAATGACAGTAAAAAGTAGCAATTTTACCCAATAAATGCGTTAATAATGTCAAATGGTTTATATATAGTCATTCAAATGAACTTAAAACGATTAAAAACGGCAACAAACATTTATTTAGGCCCGAACTACAAAACCGAATGTAAAACAATTTTACTATCAGTTTTGCTTAAGTTGCACACTAGTTGTAGGAGAGGGGAAATGGAATATTTACGGGATTTGTAGTCCATAGCGAAGTGTATTGTGGGTAGTGTAGTGCGACTCGCATGCTGGATTATGTGAGCTCGCTGTGTTCTGTGCAGCTGAGCAGAGGAAGAAAGTTTTAATCGGCTTTGTTTTATGTTCACTCGAATTATTCCTACCGGGAGCTGTTTGCTCTGTGAATCTGACAACACGAAAATAAGTGAAAGAATGGCATGCATTAATTACTTTTGTCCGTCTCATCATCTGCACGAGCATGAATTAACGAGCTGTTATTCTGCCGCTGGACAGCACTGAAGCGGAGAAAGTAATACTAGTTTGATCATGTATAAATATCATTATAACTATATTGTATAAATATTATTATAACTAGGTCTACTGCAACCTGATAATCAAAAAACTAATGACATGATATCACAGGCGATTGTCCTCTGACTGTAGACACTTCTCAGCATACAGTACTATTTGATCTATAAAATTTGTAAAATAAACATTTGCAGGTTAAAGAAACAGCATAGGAGGGGCCTTGGTGCAGATGAAAAGTTTAAAAAGTGTATTTGTATATAGAGAGACATGGATAACTAGATAGAATAGACAGAGATAGGTTGATCTCTGCAGCAGCTGCCGAAGAGCTGCGCGCTGCAGACGCAGCTGGTGTGAAAGGCAAACGCCTGCGTGCTGCTACTGCTCGACATACGCGCTGCTCACGCTCTGCTCACGCGCCGCTGACGCTTGCGGTGTGAAACAGGCGTTAAGTCTCAAAGTCGCATTGTGAATTCTCTCTCTCTCTCTCTCTCTCTCTCTCTCTCTCACACACACACACACACCACCTACCTGTGAGGTCAATGGTGTGCAGGTACTTCAGGTCTTTCAGAATGTCTGCCGGTAAACTGCTGAGTTTGTTGCCGGGCAGGTGTAACTCCTCCAGAAGCGGGACTGCTCTTAAGTGTTCAGAAGTCAGCACGGTCAGGTTGGTGAACTGGATGGTCAAAGAAGTGGTGCTGGGAGGAAGACCGTCTCCAGGAAAATGAGAGAGTCCAGCATCAGGACACACGACCTCGGTGGTTTTGGCGCTGAAGTGGCACGTGCATCTCTTTGGACACGAGAGGGCGTCCCGACTACACAGGACCAGCATCACCGCGAGCGCGCGCACGAGCCAGGAGTTCATCTTCACGAGCTTGAAGAAGAAAAAAGTTTAATTCAAACTATTTTCTCACAAATACTTGTTTACTTCATAAGACAGAGCTGTTTTGCTTTTGAGAAGATATTTACTTAGAGCAAAGCTAATTTCAACAAATGGTTAGGCCTATTACCATAAAGAAAACGTAAGAATGGCTAGATTAGTGAAATTGGCTGGTTATTTTTTTACAAGTGGTAAAACATCAATAAAAACACAATTTTACCTTGTGTAAATGTCCAGTTATTCCAAAATTCTGCTCATTAGTTTGGGTTATATAACCTGACAGAGACTGTCCAGTGTGTGCATCCAGCACTGTTTACAGGAAAATAAAACAGTCAGAGAAAACTCGTCACTAATGCAAATAGTGATCTGAACATGACTCAGGGTGAAAGTACACACCGCGTTTCCAAAAAGAGTATTAATTAAAACAGCTAAAATGTAGCAGACAGACCGTCGTTTTAATAAAAAAATTAAAAAATAAATTAAATATTATTTACGAATGGTGGTGAAATCTAACATAAAAATATAAATTGAAAAAAATTTTATAGTGAAAGAACGACTAATAACAGTCTAGTGTTAGATCAATACATGTAAATGATTGATGTTTTCCTGAAGAATCAGCGTTGCACAATGAAGAAGAAGTTGCACAACACGAATGGGAACAAGTTTTCATTTCAAATCATGCTGCAGGTTCCCGGTGATTTGTTTCATGCTGAGGAAATGGCTCAAGTTGATTCTGAAATTGATTTTGTGGTGAAATAAATATTACAGATAAAATGTACATTGAGTAAATTTCAGGCAAGAACTTAAAAAGTAATTTACCTTCATATATAGAGCCTCTCACTCAAATAAAGCTTCTGATGAAACTTAGCAATTATTTTTTACTTGTAGCCTTTTTTAACTTTGGAAATAATAAATACTCATCTTTCTGATATTGCTACAATACATTCTGTTGCATGTTTTTTACATTGTAGACTATCTCTTTCTGTTTGTTTGTTTGTTTGCGTTTTTCAGCTGAACAAATGTTTTTTGTTGTTATCTTGCTGTTTTGATGAAATATCCCATTTATATATTTAAAGAACTATCAGGTTATTAAAGGTAAAGAGGTCTTCGAGTTCAGTACATGTGGTTTCCTTTAATGTTTCGTAAAAAAAAGCTAAATTAAACTTATGAAAATACTGAACAAACTTTGACCAAGTTCAATTAATTCTCTTTGTTAAAAAGTGTGCTAAATTGACAGCAGTTCTACAACATTATTCATTTTCATTTAGTCAGTTTTTCTTAACCTTAAAGAGATTTAATTCTGTTTAGCTATTAGCCTATACTGTAGCCTATATTATCAATTTCTTAGTTTTATTTATTCAATAATTTTCTTTTCAGCTTAGTCCCTTTATTAATCTGGGGACAACTTATCCACCATATGTTTTATGCAGCGGGTGACCTTCCATCCGCAACCAAACACTGGGAAACACCCATACACACTTGCATTCACACACTTATACTACGGCCATTTTAGCTTATTTATTCACATGTCTTTGGACTGTAGTTAACCGGAGCACCTGGAAGAAAACCCACGTGAACACGGGAAAACATGCAAACTCCACACAGAAGCGCCAACTGACCCAGGCGGGACTCGAACCAGCCACCTGTGAGGCGATCGTGCTACAGCGCAACCGTGACGCGCTCTTATAATTAATATATATACATTTATATTAAAATAGACAGTTTTACATATTGTGACTGAACTGAATGTTAAACCACTTTACAACTTTTAATCAACTTATTTGATAAATAAACCTAGAATTTTGGCGCTGAATAAAAACACGTACAGGATTTTAATAAAACAAGAGGAAAAGCGTGCACACGCTCTCTCAAGATGGGAAATGTTTGTGTTCAGCTCTGGGGTTAATTAATGAGGATGGCGTCTCTAATGGTCCTTGGTGACGCGACGCGCTCCACGCCAAACCCCTCCCGGTGTGCCCGCGCTGCGCTGGAGAGCCGGTGTCCCTCCGTCACCGCGGACAGTTCTGCAATGATCCTGTGCCGCTAGTGGAGCGCGCGCCTTGCCTTTCTCCACAGTTCTGGGAGGGGACACCTGCGGGGACCAAGGATCCTTTGGAGAGCTCCAGTCCCCAGGAGAGTCGATGGAGACCTACAGCACCTACAGGAGGCTTCTGAGCTTCACGGAAGGTCTCGACAGTTTCCCGGAGAGTCCACTTATGGCGGAGTTACGCGCCACACAAGAGCCGCTCTCTCTGGTGCCCAGGAGCGATGTGGCTCCAGCAGGGCTCCTGGCGGCTCAGTTCTCGTCCTCTGAAGCACCCACTCACCGGATCGTTGCTTTCTGGGATTCACCTTTGAGTCACTGGATTAACGTGTTTGTTGGCATAGTCCTGTGCTTCACCATGCTCGGGCTGGGCTGCACGGTGGAGCTCAGTCAGCTGGGCGAGCACATCCGCAAGCCCATCGGAGTGCTGCTGGCGGCGGTGTGCCAGTTTGTGCTGATGCCCCTCATCGCCTTCCTTCTGGCTCTTGCCTTCTCGCTCAACGATGTGGCCGCAATGGCCGTGCTGTTGTGCGGCTGCTGCCCCGGAGGAAACCTCTCCAACATAATGACTCTGCTGGTCAACGGAGACATGAACCTCAGGTAGATGACAGGTCTTTGCCCACATCCGACCAGTAATGCGGTGCGAGGGTGGTGAGGACAAACTGCATTGAAGTAAATGTTTTTGGGATGTTTGAGAATGTCTCTAACAAAGTATGAGAAATAATACACTCCAAAAAAAAAAAAAAAAACGTTGAGTTGTTTACTTAAGCCAATGGTTGAGTTAGAAAATATTTGGTGCTTTTTGGGTTATTTTTAACCTTTATTGGGTTATTTATTTCTTAACTCATTTACTTAACTAATAAAATATATTATGAGATTGTATTTTAAAATGAAATGAAAATGGACAGGGCAACATGGTGACGGAGTGTAGCGCTCTCACCTCACAGCAAGAAGGTCACTGGTTCGAGCCTCGGCTGGGTCAGTTGGCGTTTCTGTGTGGAATTTGCATGTTCTCCCCGTGTTCGCGTGGGTTTCCTCCGGGTGCTCCGGTTTCTCCCACAAGTCCAAAGACATGCAGTACAGGTGAATTGGGTAAGCTAAAATTGTCCATAGTGTATTTGTGTGAATGAGTGTGAATGGGTGTTTCCCAGTGGTGGGTTGCAGCTGGAAGGGCATCAGCTGCGTAATATGCTGGATAAGTTGGGGATTCATTCTGCTGTGGCGACCCCTGATTAATAAAGGGACTAAGCCGACAAGAAAATGAATGAATGAATGAAAATGGATAAAGCAGGTGGGACATCATTTGAAAATAAGATACCAGAAAAATAAAACACAATGAATAAAACATTTTAAGAATAAACCGAAGATGACTTGGAGAGAAAAAAGTCAAACGAAACAAAACATAAAATAAATAAAAATCTATATTAAAAAGCTGTATGTATGCTTATCACACTCCAGAATATCAAACTGCACTGCTTGTCAGTCTTTGGTCAACCATTGCTTTAGGATGGTATTTTGTGTTTCAGCATCATCATGACCATCTCCTCCACTCTCCTGGCCCTTGTGCTCATGCCGCTGTGTCTGTGGATGTATAGTCGCGCATGGATCAACACACCAGTGGTGGACCTTCTGCCCTTCGGCCCCATCATTCTGACCCTGTGCAGCACCCTCATCCCCATCGGCCTTGGCGTCTGGCTGAGACAGCGCTACATTCACGTGGCAGAAGTCATCATCAAGGTGCACACATTTCTAGCACTAAAATTTGATAATTGGATAAAGTTTTTCTTTTTACAATATATGAATCTATTTTCATCACTCCGAAATTAGGAAAACCCACTTATAAATCTGAAATAAATGCAAATTTCACATATATAAATCATGATATGCAGTGCTCAGCATATATGACTACACTCCATTTTGAAAATGAATATTTTTAACCATTTTTAAGTGAATACGGGTAATACATTTAGCTGCATTTGAACAAAATAGATTTATTTATTAGATATATTAACATATAACAGATATATTTATTAAAATAATATTTTTTTCACCAAACATATTTAGAAATGGAAAGATAATACAATTACATTCATGAAAAATATTGCAAAAATAAATAAAAAAAACAACAGCATTTCAACAAAATAGTACTTTTTTTTTTTGTTTCTCTTGATTTTTGCTATTTTTGAAAAAATCATTTAAATATTAAATATTATTTTTTTATATATATAACATAAATTTGGGCAACTAATTTTTGAACCATTATTGTAAGTAATTATGTTAGATGAGCTCCAGATTTGGCTCCAGTACTGACTAATCTAATGTATATGCACAAATATAATATTGTAAAGTATCCTATAGAAAATATTAGTTTAAACGAGAGATTTGTTGGGGGTGTATACTCATATATGTTGAGCACTATATTTTTTATGCATGTATACATAAAAAATGTTGTAAAAAAAACTGCTGCTTTTATATATAAATGTACATATGTGTTCAAATATATTAGCTTTAATGATATATATATATATATATATATATATGTATATACGGTTGAAGTTTTTATGTTGGAGAAAAGGAAATTTTCACAGTATGTCTGATAATATTTTTTTATTCTGGAGAAAGTCTTATTTGTTTTATTTCGGCTAGATTTAAAGCAGTTATTAATTTTTTTAAAACCATTTTTGGGAAAAAAAAGATTAGCCCCTTTAAGCTGATTTTTTTTTCAATAATCTACAGAACAACCCATCGTTATACAATAACTTGCCTAATTACCCTAACCTGCCTAGTTCACCTTATTAACCTAGTTAAGCCTTTAAATGTCACTTTAAGCTGTATAGAAGTGTCTTGAAAAATACCAATTAAAATATTATTTACTGTCATCATGTCAAAGATAAAATAAATCCGTTATTAGAAATAAGTTTTTAAAACTATTATGCTTAGAAATGTGTTGAAACAATCTTCCCTCCATTAAACAGAAATTGGTGAATAAAATAAACAGGGGCACTAATAATTCAGGGGGGCTAATAATTCTGACTTCAACTCTTCAACTGTATATATATATATATATATATATATATATATATATATATATATATATATATATATGATGGATAGGTTGGCGGTTCATTCCGCTGTGGCGACCCCGGATTAATAAAGGGACTAAGCCAACAAGAAAATGAATGAATGAATAATGAACATGTACATACAAATTTGTAATTCCAGTTAGAAAAAATATATGTAACCCGCCATTATTGCAATATTTTAAAATATATGTTGCATACATGACATATATTTTATATATGTCAAATTAAAATTTGAACTTCTAATTTGCATTTACATTTCCATTTATAAGATTTCTACATGGGAATACTGAACAGAGCAGAAAAAAAAGAATTTTCAATTTTTTTTAATATAAAATATTGTACATAATCAATAACATGAAAAATGTTTGCTACATGTAGCTGAAGATGAGATTTAACATCTTAAAACTTATTTTGGGAAACAGCCTTTAAATATGTGCTGTAATTGAAATCTACACGCTGTAAAACCGAACAGTCAACTTCATCAAATAAAATGAGTGTAGTTAACTCAAAACTGACTGGAAGTTAATTCCACTCATTTGAAAAGAGTTTTGAATTCAGCGTTAAAGCTAATTAGTTAATAAAATACCTCATTACATCAAACTAAATGGAGCAAGTTCACAGTACTCATATAAATTAGTGGTTTAACTCAAATGGTTTGTTGCAATCGGTTTCCTCAAATGGTTTGAGTTGACCTAACTTACTAACTAACTTTGGGTTTTACAGTGCTCAGTTGGTTTGAGTTCATTTATTGGGTTTTACTGTGCTCAAATTGCATCATTTACTTAAATGAAGTAAGTTCACAGTACTCGTTAGGATTAGTTTTTGCACTTAAATGGTTTATTGCTATCGGTTTCCTCAAATGGTTTTTGTTACCTTAACTTATTGGGTTTAAGAGTGCAGATACAAACTGATGAGATACAACATTTAAAAGTGTATTCTGGATGTTTTCTTTACAATAAAAAAAAACTATATGAATGCCCAAAATATCAAAATAGATGAAAAAAACAATTTTTTTCCTGCAGTGCCTGGCCTTTAGTATAATATAAAGTGATTAAACTTCATGCTATCTTTTCTGAAATATCGCTGGTTGTGATGTCGTCCTAATGTCCACAATCTCTGGCCATTAAAGGAGTCTGAAGTGCCCGGGGCAAGGTGGCGTCACATACGCACGCATGGGTTCCTCCTTTCAGTTAAGCTTATCTAAGAACAGCCTGGTAAGGGTACAGTGGCGACTGTGAGATAGAGCGAGGACGAGGGAGGAGTAACAGAGACAGTGATAAAGAAACAAGGGTGGTTTCAGAGAAAGCACATCAAGTGGAGTGGATAAAAACTGGGCTGATTTGTCACTCATGGCTTGCACTTTTCTTTTCTAGTAGTAACATCGTGTGTCTCTCTGTGCCATTCACTCTTTTCAGGATTGATTCCCCAGGTCATTCATAGCTAAATATGTCACTTTCAATTGTTCCCAGTCTCTTTAATAAAGGAAAGGCTTTATAGTTAATTGCTGCCTGCTGAATCTTGTTACACCATGTCATTTTTTCAGCAGTTTCGCTGGACTTGGGAAATGTGTGTCGTTTACATCATGAGTGATTATACTTGTATGGTGAGATTAAGCTGATATAATTTGTTTAAATCTATGATAAAAATGTTTGTTTTTTAAAAAAGGGGTTGTTTAGAATATTTAGACAATAAATTACCACATAATATTCAGTCCATTAGACGCATTTACTACGTGAAAATTACTATTTTTGAGCACATACATTGTAATGTACACTGAAAAAATATATATGTTGAATTTCCTAAAACATTTTAAGGTGTTTGCAAAGAATTTTTATGGGCTAAATTCCTTCATTTATTAATTTTCCTTTGGCTTAGTCCCTTTATTCATTAAGGGTTGCCACAGTGAAATGAACCGCCAACTTATCCAGAATATGTTTTACACAGCATCCATACACACTCATGCACAGTCATACACTACAGCCAATTTATTTATTCAATTCACCTATAGCTCATGTGTATGGATTGTGGGGGAAACCGGAGCACCCAGAGGAAAATCACACGAACACGGGGAGAACATGCAAACTCCACACAGAAATGCCAGCTGACCCAGCCAGGACTCGAACCAGCAACTTTCTTGTTGTAAGGTGACAGTGCTAACCACTGAGCCACCGTGTCGCCCATGGGCTGAATTTAAACAAATTGAACAATGCTAAATTTGTATTTGGCTGTTTAAATTCACCCCATATAAATCGTTTGAAACCACTTACCTCAACAAAATGAGTAAATCCAAAGAATCATTTTTTTAGTGTACCAAGAAAATGTATAAATAAAATTATAAGACCTTCATTAGACCTAAAACATAATAGAAATACAAATCCTGCGAGAATATGTCCACCCAAGTATACATAAAATTTAAAAAAAAAAAATGTAAGAGCACATACTTTTAATTGATACAATTACAAATATTTTAGCCAATTTTTAAAATTTTATTTAGATTTCATTTTATTTTAAGTTGTCAAAACAGATCAAATCAATTCAAATGGAAAATCTTCTTAAAAAAAGAAAATATAAAGGCTGCAATGCCTTTATCATCACATAGCATTATATACATACATACATACATACATATATATACATATACATATATATATATATTTTCAGATTAGTCCCTTTATAAATCTGGGGTCGCCACAGCGGAATGAACCGTCAACTTATTGAGCATATATATATATATATATATATATATAAACCTATTTCAAAATGTCCATTATATCCATAAGAAATATTAATACAAGAATATATTTCTAAAAATGAATATGTTGTAATATATTGTAATATTTTTAATTATTCTAGTGGACATTTTCACAATATTATTTTTTATTTCAAGGTTCTAGTCAATATGGAATTTGGTCTAATCTAACATCAAACCCATCTATTAAACCAATAAATAAAATAAAACAATCTTCTAAGAATGTGTCCAATAGACCCATATAAATAAAAAGTATTATGGGAATATGTTTATTTTGCCCATTGTAAAACATTGTAGAAATATCTCCATTAGACCCCATACAATAAAATAATCATATAGTAAAATGTGTTCATTATATTCATAATAAATGATAAAAGTATTGTCAGAAAATGCCCAAAAATCCAGAAAAAATGATGGTTATATTATAATATTTCATTATAAATGGTTATAGTATTTAATTATAGACAGAAAAATATACTAATTTTCAGTATCTAGTGGTGGCGCGGTGGCGCAGAGGGTAGCACTGTCACCTCAAAGCAAGAAGGTCACTGCTTCGAGCTTTGGCTGGGTCAGCTGGCATTTCTGTGAGGAATTAGCATGTTCTCCCTGTGTTGGCATTGGTTTCCTCCGGGTGCTCCTGTTTCCCCCACAGTCCAAAGACATGCATTATAGGTGAATTGGGTAAGCTAAATTGTCCGTAGTGTAGGTGAGTGAATGAGAGTGATCTGTTGCAGCTGGAAGGACATCCGCTGTCTAAAAGATATGCTGAATAAGTTGAATAAGTTAATAAAGGGACTAAGCTGAAAAGAAAATAAATGAATGAATTTTAAGAATATAAAAATTGAACTCAACAGCATATACAAACATCTGCATGAGAGTGTAATGTAATGTCAGTGAGTAGGATTTACCTGTGTGTTGCTGTGCTCCAGGTGTCTCTGTGGTCTCTCCTGGTGACTCTGCTGATGCTCTTCATCATGACTGGCACTATGCTGGGCCCGGAGCTGCTGGCCACCATCCCTGCCTCTGTGTACCTGGTGGCTGTGCTCATGCCAATGGCTGGCTACACTGCAGGATACGGCCTTGCCACGCTCTTCGACCTCCCCCCTAACAGCCGCAGGACTGTCTCTTTAGAGACCGGATGCCAGAACATTCAGCTCTGCACTGCTATCCTGAAATTGGCGTTCCCCCCGCAGTTGATGGGTGGCATGTACATGTTTCCTTTGCTGTACGCTCTCTTCCAGGCCGCAGAGGCTGGCATCTTCATCCTGGTTTACCGCATGTACAGGAAAGAGGTTTTACACAAACAGGACCTCATGGAAGACGATGATGACGACACGAATGTATCCTACAAGAGAATGAAGGAAGAAGATGTGCCGTTTGATTCTACATATGGCGCGGTAATAGTGAGCGATCCGAATGTCATTGTGCTCGAGTCACAGGATGGTGCTGGAAGTCCTACGCCTGTGTAAAAACACACACGTACAAAAAAACTACTGGACTACACTGGACCTGTGTAATTGCATAAGGATTGATCCATTTCATTAGTTTTCTAACTAATCACTCGCAGAGTTTTAATGATAACGTGCCAAAAATGATTGCAAGACTGTGAAAATGAAAACTAATATCTTGACATCACTCAGAGGTGATAGGAAAGTTATTCAAGCCAATGTTTTAATGCTTTAAATCTTCATATAAACATGCTAAACATTGCCATTCAATGGAATTTTCTGAAATTAGCATAAAATATATACAGTTTTCAAAAGCAAATGCACATGCTAGGACAAATATTATATGAAAGCTATCAATATTATTTGAAAAAATGTGAGATATATAAATTTTTATACATTATTCTCTAATATAATGTACACATTTAAAAGTAAATGACAAGGTCAATCATATTGGAGTAATTCAATACATTTAGGCATGTATACTTGGTCATGATGATCTACCAAAATTGAAACTAAGCATCAGAATAGAAAATAATGGTGATTTGGGTGTGTTTGAATGAATGTGATAGTAAAGTTTACAGAGAAAGGTCCAAAAACAGAACAAAATGTGGTGAGTTTGAAGTTCTATGAGTGATAATCCATTGTTGGCTCTGTAATCAAGGAGAATGATCAGACTGGTTGAAGCAAACAGAAGGACAACAGCGTGTTTGACCAATGTCTGTAAGGTATTTGAAGCAGATGAGCTACAGCAGCAGCAGCAGAAGAGCAGCACACCCTAGTCACATATCAGGAATCTGAGGCTACAGTTCACACTGGCACGCTAAAATTGGACAATAGAAGACTGGAAATAGTTTTAGTTTAGTCTAGTTATGATTTTTACTGTGGTATTCAGATAGTCTGTGCAAAAAATTGGTATATGCAACATGAAAGCATGCATTCATACTGCCTTATATCAATGATTCAGGTGATGTTGTAATAGTGTGGGTGATGCTTTGGTCCTGTTAGTACCAACTGTGCATTGCTTTATAACCACTGTAAACCGATCTTGCTAAGGATCCTTGTAGCATCATGGATGTACAAATCATCAGCTGAGAAATGTTTCCAGCATCTTCTTGAATCAATACCACGAAGCCAGAAAGCATTCTGAAAGCAAACGTGAGTCTATACATATGGTTAGGTTGAGGGTAAAGCAAAGACCATGTGGGTCAGGTAGTGAAAACGGTAGGCAACAATTAATGAATTTGTTATGAATTAATTTATATTTAACAATAAAACCCCATCCCCCGCCTACTACACCTTCACATCCGCAGCTGTTGTTGGACCAGCAGAAACTATTACTAATTCACCAATGTCACTTTAGAGCTAATGTTTGAATGATTCTCTAGCGTAATGTCTAAAGTGAAGTCAAAACAGGTGCGCTCCAATAATTATGCTCCAGAAAGATAAATATTTAAAATAGGCCCTATCCTTAAAAATAAACTACATAGTTGTAATCTAAACAACTACATTATCAACTACATTAGCCTCAAAAGTACATTATGTTGTCTAACAGCAGCAATATTTGTCAAACTCTAGAGTGTTCTCTGCTTGTCGCTGTATGTGGGAGGAGTTACACACAAGGGTGAAGGGTTAAGAGGCTGGTCGAGTGCTGTCACTGGCAGATTATTGCATGGGTATCAGCCAATCAGATTCAAGAACCAGACAGAACAATTGTGTGTGTGTGTGTGTGTGTATATATATATATATATATATATATATATATATATGTATGTATGTATGTATGTATGTATGTATGTATGTATGTATATATATATATATATATATATATATATATATATATATATATATATATATATATATATATATTTATATATATATATATATATTTATATATAGGAATAATTTTATTCATAGATTTATAGTGAAAATAGTAAAAAAAATATATGATATATTTTTTACTATTTTTACTATAAATTTATGAATAAAATGATTACTTTATTTTTTTTTATTAAATAATATTCATTCCTTGAGACATTGAGACAACGTTATACTGAAAGGCACTTTCAGAGTGTCACAGAGTTATGCAAATTATGCATCATAAACATAGATTGATGCTGCTGTTTGTAAATGAATCCTGCTATTACCTCAGTAAATGGATTACATTGGCTTATTTGATTATGTGGACCCAGAGGATGAGAAGACTGATTTTCCTGCGGTACAGTATGGATGCCTTATCTTGCACATGGCCCACTGTCAGTCTGTTTCTGATTCCAAAACTAGCTGGAAATGTTTGTTTATTGATTCTAAGAGGAATTATAAATGATTATAAATGCTTGATATCAGATCACCAACACCAAATGCTTCTTGACAATTGTAGTTTTAAAAAATACAAAAGGTTTATTCTAGACAAGTCATTGTGTTTCCATCTGATAATCTTAAATTATGCAATCCATCTCTGTAATTAAAATGAAAAAATATATTGTACATGTTCATCAGTATAAAAATGCCTGCAAGATGAATAAATGTTTGCAAAAAGAAACTAATATTACTATTATTATGAGTCTCATATGTCCCTGCCAGATTAGCATATATATTTTAGACATTACAATCACAGTAAAACTTATATTTATTTATTATTTACTCATTTAGTAGTAATATATTTAACACTGATCAATGGAGTAATGGAACACAAAAGCATAGATATTTCCATTAGATGTTGCCTACCCTGTTGTTGTCTATTGGAAGGAATGCAACAATAGAGCTGCCATTTTAGTACAGGGTAGCGCTACTTTGAAATGAATGTGGGACCAAAGTGTAGTGGATGACTGGCCATCTAGAACCAGAGATATATACACATATAAACATATATTGATGATCAGAAGTTTTCCCGGTGGTCAGTACGCAAATATTTTTTAAGTTACGAAAATGTAAATTTTACATCACTTTTCCACATCGATAGATAAGTGACCACACGGGCATTGCCTACAAAGAGTATGTGTTTGTGTGCATGGGAATGTATTATACTCCCTCCCTGTTAAATTTGATCTAATCCATGTCCTGGAACAAACCTCCTCTCCTGCTTTTACTTCTCATTTTAACAGAGGGAGTGCTTTGATTGTGAATGAATCTCTGTTATGAATGACTTAGCTGACAATAGTTTCTGGCACCACAGCATCTTGTTGTCATATTTCTTTTTCATTGTTTGCTTATTTTACTCAACAAAACTAGCATAAGCCTAGTATTTAGTGCAAGTTGATGCTAATTATCATCAATAACATTACTTGTTTAGCACAAAGTTTATAACATATAAAAACGTAAAAAACAAATTTCTTCCTATGAAATGTTCTGCCTTTGTGCTTTGTTATCTTTGTTTACTTGTCTTTGCTACACCCGTACGCAGCGCTAAAGTCCAGCATCTTCACACTGGCTTTAGTCTTGACTAGTTTGGTTGAATGACATTTGTCCTGGAAGCACTGTAACAATGTGGCGGCGCTATTGACTCATGCTCAGGGCCCTAATGCGATATCTAGTGTATATTTCTATGACACAAAACCAGTCATAACTGTATTTTGTTTTTAAATCGAGATTTATATATGACATGAACAGACTTCTTTGTTATGATAGGACAGTATTTGTCCGAGATAAGAATTTTTAAAAATCTGAAATCTGGGGGTTCAAATAAATCTCAATCTTGAGAAAATCACATATATATATTTGTCTAAATTAAGTGCTTAGCTATACAAATAACCAATATATTTACATTACTAGTATATTTACAGTATAAAATATACAAAATATCTTCATGTTACATGATTTTAATATTCTAATGATTTTGGCATAAAAGTAAAATCAGTCATTTCGACCAATATAATGTTATTGCCAAAACATACCAGCGCAATATATGACGGGCGTTGCCTTCTTGAGTAACCAGTGGTGGAAAGAGAACTGAAAAATCATACTAAAGTAAAAGTACCATTAATTGCCTAAAAATTTAGTGCAGGTAGAGTAAAAGTATCTGCTGTAAATGTTACTCAAAATATGAGTAAAAAGTAAACCTTTCAGAAGTACTCAAGAGTAGTGAGTATTATGCTGTAAAAAGCTGATGTGTTTACATCTAATTTGTGGACACGTGTAAACATAACATTCTTTAGTGCATTTAGTGATTGCCCATCAGGCACACAATGTCATTTGACGTTAAAGTTAGGTTAGATTTAAGTTGTGATGTCAGGTGAGCAAATTTCAATGTCTAGCCAGCGGCTAAAGACAACGTTATTTTGATGTCCAATAATGACGTGTAATAATGTTTATATTTAGTCGATTTTAGGTTGTGTTGTAAAGTGACCAAAATCCAACGTTGAGCCAACATCTTAAACCAACAACCTATTGACATCAAAAATGACATTTACCCATCAGGTGTGGCAAACAAAATCCCACATTTGATAGACGTCATAGTGGTAACGTCAAGCTGTAACATCATTAGACGGTGATATTTGGTTGATTTCAGATTGAACACTGACATAAGCATGACATTGGGTACTGATGTCAACCCGATTTTCATTTCCAAACAAAATTCAGTGTTCCCACAAAGTTGGGGTACAACGTCAATCTGACATCATGTTGATTTTCTTATGGCTGCTGGGTGTTTAAGGTTATTTCGGTCATCATACATTAAACATCTCTCATCTTCTCAACAGTGACATGCATCTAAACAGTCTCTGGGTCATTGCATGTAAAGATTCTGGACATCTTCTTGGACACTTCCTTCCAAGCGGTTTGCTGCATTTATAAATTGCCATGTCTTGAGGTACTTCATTATGATGTAACCTATATGTGATTTGATAGGACAGGAATCATAGGACTGATTTTTCTAATCCATATAGACAAGAAAAAAGCAGTGACTGCAGGTTGAAGGAAAGTAGTGGAGTAAAAGTACCAATACAGCACTAAAAATGAACTCAAGGGAAAGTTTAATACACATTTTTAAAACGAGTAAATTATAATTCCTGAGAAAAATTACACAATTACAGTAATTTAAGTATTTGTAATGTTACTTTACACCACTGAGAAAAACAAATAATTATTGTAGGATGAAAATGTCTATGACTCGCTGGTAAAAATGTACAGACATTCACAGACTAACAACAAACCACCTGGTTAAACTGAGTTTTGGAAGTTGGTACATGGCTCGTTTACTAAAAAACGAGTTATGTATGTTCTTAAACAAAGGTTTCACATCTCACAAACACATTTCAACTGCTTTTCAAGACTGTCCTACATTTTTTTTAGCTTTCCCAAACCTCGAAAATCGTATTAATTGTTCTTAATTAGACACCTGAGCTCAATCTACCCTGTTCATCTAACGTTACTTAAACCGCTACAGTCCGCTTGCCAGCCGGCTAAGCGAAAAATGGCTACATATGGAAACGAGACAGTCGATAACTATCTTTACTCCTCTTACAACCCTTATTACTACAAATACCCCAAATTCAAGGGCTGGAGACAGAAAGCTTACTTCACCAACTACGGTGAGGGCGAGACCTACTTTGATAATCACCACAGGGCGCAGCTGAAGTCCATCTTGTCTCAGATCAACCCAAATCTCACCCCGCGTCTGAGGAAGGCCAACACCAAAGACGTCGGGGTTCAGGTCAACCCGAAGACCGACGCGTCTATCCAGTGCTCTCTGGGGCCGCGGACGCTTCTGGCACGCAAACGCGATGCCCTGCGCCGGCGGCGGCAGGAGGTCCAGACCCCTGGGAGTCCCGTCAGCAGCGGTGGTGTCCGGTTCCCGCGCACCCAGGCCGTTTACTCCCCAGTAGAATCCCGGAGACTAGTGTCCCTCTTCAGAGAGGAGGGTGAAGAAGAGGAGGACACGGATCTCGAGGTCACAGAGACGGTTGACAGCGCAGAGAAGCTGGAAAGCGCCGAGAAAAACGTGCGCAAACAGGGTAAGAAAAGCGCGAAGCAACCGCTTAGTCCAGAGAAAAATATAAACAAGCAGACTGAAACAAATGAGGAGAACACAAACGAGCCAGTGAAAACCGAACAAGACGATCTGAAGTCCAAGGCTCGTGTGAGATTTCAGGTGACATTAATTTATTCTCATAGCATATATATGAAACTTAATCGACGTGTGTTTTTAACATAACTTGCTTTAGAATTGCAGTTGAAGTGTTTTGGCACTTCCAGTATTATATTATCTTTTCAATCCAGTTTTTGGAGCAGAAGTATGGATTCTATCATTGCAAAGACTGCAACCTACGGTGGGAAAGTGCTTATGTGTGGTGTGTCCAAGGAACAAACAAGGTAATATTTTGTACACGCACAAACAAAATCTTAATTCCGTAAAACTACTCTCATTGCTCCAGATCCCTGTTAACAATGGAGTAGTTTGAGCAAACCAAGATGACATGTTCCTGTCTAGGCTATATTTGCGTTTGGTTTAAAAAAAACCCAGTTAAAATGGCAACCATTTTTTCATGATTCCCAGAACAGAATTTTTCATCAACCTTTTTTTTCTCATTTGAAAGACAATATTTTAAAACTTGAAATCGTTAACAACTGACATCCATGGTAGGAAAAACAAGGAGCCTATTAAAGTCAGTGGCTTTGAATTTACAACATTTTTCCAATTTTTTTTATAAACTCAAACATGCATGTTTAAATCTAGTGGAGTGCAAGTAAAAAAAAAAAAAAAAAAAAAAAAATTCATTTTTGGGTTAACTATCGGAATTATCCCTCTAAGCTTTTACAAAGCCCCTCTGCAATGTTCAGAAATTCATTTTTTTTTTTTTTTGATTGCCCAAAAACTACTTTCCCCATAAAGTTATTAGGGGAATGTTCCTTTTGTGCTGGAAAAGAATTAATTTACTTTTAGTTCCCCTGTGATTTTGAGGTTGAGAGAGGTTCTGGATGTTTGGTACACAATCGGGATTGTTAGATCAAGGATGTTCAAATTCTGTCCTGGAGGCTTCGTTTCATGCTTCGCTCCAATCTAAATTGGATCATTCTGAACCAGCTAATCTAACTCCTACTAGACAAACACCTGCCAGAGTGTTTTTAGTATTCCAAGTTGTGAGTTAAATTCTGCAGGACATCTCTGGACATCCAGAGTTTGGGCACATGTCTTGGACCGCTCTGACCATTTCCTTTTGTATTCTTGTTAGACTCACAAGCAGTCCCCCTACCCCATGTTTATGGAACAATATGCACATACCTGTATAATGGGTGAATTAGGCAAATCTGGTCTATTCTTGTTGCTGATTACTGATTGAAGTTTTTCCGTTTCCTTTTTTAAAGGTTTATTTCAAGCAGTTCTGCAGAACATGCCAGAAATCATTCAACCCATACCGGGTTGAGGACATAGCATGTCAGGTAAAGTAGCTCTTTTAATTGATTGTTCTCATCAGAGGGTCCAGGGCTCCTCTGGAGCAGTAAGCAAGAGGACTGTGAACTGACTAAATGCATTAAAGTTGCCATAATTTACATCACAGTTAATCTTAAGGAATTTGATTTATCCCCATTAACAGTGTTGAGAGTTTCAGGACTTTGTTTAAACTCCCATGTTAACCAAAATTTTCTTCCAGACTTGCAAGAAAGCTCGCTGCACATGTTCTGTCAAGTCGCGTCACGTGGACCCCAAAAGACCCCACCGGCAGGATCTGTGCGGCCGCTGTAAAGGCAAGCGTCTGTCCTGCGACAGCACGTTCAGCTTCAAGTACATCATCTAGCAGCTCTGTCCATTGTTGTCATCAGCTGGATTGTCCACCTCAGTCTCTGCACCTCTGCTGCTCGTCGACCGCAGTGGGGGAGGCAGGCCCATCGGCCACTACAGTCTCATTTGTTTTTGTTTTGCTTTGATTACGAATTGCAGTACTTGTAGGTGTGATTTCTGAACAATAAAAATGGAAGTTACTAGCACATCTGGAGCCCAGTTTTTAAATGAACAGCTTTGTAGAAGGGTTGGGTTTTGGTTTTTACAAGTTTAAAGCGTGATTCTGTAATTTTATATGACTTTGTCCACATCAAATGCCAATTTGACTTCTTTTACTGCTGGGATTGTTAGTCCAGTTTAGTCAAGATGATTAAAAGTAAAATGCACTGGAGATTCAGTATCTGCGGAAGAGGGGAACTTAAACATGGTGAGGGGGACATCTTCCCATTGTCTTTAAACATTTATAGCATTGTGTACCTGCCATAAGATTTTAGTGCAGAGATGCCAAAAGTAAAGCCCTTTGATTAACATTTAAATTTGGCCTGCCATCCCATTTGAAAAGAGGGAGAATGGTGGTTGGGGTGAATGCCTTTGACAGAAATTGTCCATTTGAATTTAATAGTTTTTTTATTTTTTTTATTTTTATTTTATTTATTTTTATTTTTTTTGAGCTTCAAAGGCAACTGAAATTACTAATGTTGTAAATGAATCGGGCTTAACCTAAATGCTGTTCCTTGAATTGCAGAACATCTGACATTTAGGAAACCTATCAAGGTAAAAGCAGGTGCAGCTCGACTAGTGTATTAGGGATTGAACTCCATTGTGTTACAAATGGAGCTTGTTTTTATTAAGTTCACTATAAAATGTTAAGTGATACTGCAGTAGATATTAAATTAATTTAAAGCAAAGTTGTCTTTGTTTTGTTTTTTTTGTTTTTAACTATTACCGAATAAATGAGGAACTTCCTCTAGGCAAATTTTATGTAATATGGTTTGAGATATTTATATATTCGGCCCACAGCCCTAAATCAAGTTTGGATTTTGGCCCTTTATAGGATAAAGTTTAGGCACCCCTGTTTTAGTGTAACTGTAATTTGAAGGGAAAACTTTGTTTTTAGTTCAATATTGACATTATATAAATGTCTACTGAAAGTGACTCCAGAAATGTTGCTTATTTGTATCATTGTAGACTAAGGATGTCCAAACTCAGTCCTGGAGGGCTGATGTCCTGCATAGTTTAGCTCCAACATTCTTCAACACACCTGCCTGGAAGTTTCTAGTATACCTATAAAGAGCTTGATTAGCTGGTACAGGTTTGTTTAATTGAGGTAGGAACTAAAACACGCAGGACACCGGCCCTCCAGTATGGAGTTTAACCACCCCTGGTCTATGATGATACAAATAAATGACATTTCTGGAGTCACTTTCACGAAGATGTTACTTCAATGAACAGTGACGGCAATCTTTAAATAGCTGAAGCGTTTACAAGTAGCACATGCTTGCAATAAGCCGAACATCAGTCTTTTGGCGAGGTTGCTAATCCAGTTAGCATTTGTTTTTTATAGACAGAATTGTGTGCTTGGGAACTGAATACATTTGATGAAAATAGTTCAACATAAATCAGCTGAGAGCAAATTTATTTTATGGGGGGAAATAAACTACCAGAAAGCCAGCATTGCTTATAATCAGAGTTTTATTTAACAGTACAGGGGAAAAGCAGGTAAATCAGATGACAAACAGACAAACCAGAGAGAAATGTGTGAAGGGGAAGGAGGAAATAAGAATAATGCACCTCTAGATAAAAACTATATTTTGTCCAGGTAAATAATATATCCATTAAATAATTAAGAACAGCATTCAAAATGTACCAAACAAAGCAACAGAAGAGATCTCTGAGAGGAATGAATACAGTGAACGTTTTTATTTGTCAATGTGCCGCGACAGATTAATCGTTCCCCCACCCCATACGTTTGCGCTCTACGCTTTTGAGGACACAGCTTTGTCTCTTGGAGTTCGGTAAGCGAAGCGCGGTGCCTTTCAGAAGCACACAAACCCTCAGTGCAGCCCTGAGTTAAGACAGAGCCAACATGGACAAACACCGGCCCCAGTTTCCCTACAGCAGGGGGCTCCAGTAGGGGGCCCCCACAGGGACTTTGAGCCAACATGGAGATCACAGTGGGTATTAAGGAATGCATATGGCAAGAGCTCATTCTTCGGGAAATATTAAAGATTAAGGTGGCGTATTATCATAAAGGAGAGGGCAGCCCGTACATCCCTAGTCAACTCGCTATTTATTTATTTTTTTTGCATTAGTCGTCACCCTCTACTGAGCTCTCTCTGATTGAACAGTGCATTACACAAATGTACAAGGAAAAAAATACTGCTTTTACACTATACATTTTCTAAAATATATACAGAGTAAAATAAGTTATTGATATTTCCATGAGTTGCAGCCAGTTTGCACATCACCTGTGCATCTCGGTTTGTTAACGTGCATGTATGAGAGAGAACGGGTGTGCAAATATCAGTCCATGTCAAACGTACTCACACGCTCGCACTCGTCCTCGCGCACACACACACGCGCGCACACATAAGTGTCTATGGTATTTTCTACAGGCAGCTACTTATTTGGTTATAGATTACGGGTTTTGTATGAGCAGCCCAGTGAAAGCTGAAAGTTCTCCTCGATGCAGGTCAATAAAGTTAAACAGATAAACCTCTCTTTAAACGGAGGATACGCCGCTCCTTGCTTACAATTACATGTTAAATTTCCTAACATTTACAACCTAAGACTGTTAAAAAATACATTTCTCAAAAAAATAAGTTGCAGGCTTCTCTCTTTCAAGCATGCTTTTTTATGTCTGCGATAAATCTCGCAGGTAAATCACAAAAACGCTCCAAATCCCATCTCTGCCCCAGTGCATAGTGGGGCAGACGGATGTGAATCACTCAAAAAAAAAAAACTCCCAAGAGGTCATAGGTCATTCCGCCAAAAAACAAACAAACAAACAAAAAGCTGTGAATTTAGCATCATAATCGCCTAGTGTTCCTCCTAATGACCGGTCCCATTCTTTGTACATTTTCCGCCATCCGCCGAGGATAAACTATATTATAGAAACGTGTTGCGTGCGTAATAGTTTGGAGTCACTAATGTCCACACATTCTTTAGCCCTTTGAGGTGAAGTCTACATGAAAATCGGCAAACCTGTCGTCCCCGGAGGAAGAGTTGGAGCTGGTTGATACTCTAGAGTCCAGTGCTGAGGACTGTGTTTTGCGTGTCGATCTGCGTCTGGATGTGGCCTGTGGGTGTCGGGGACTGGATGTGCGTCTGGTGGCTCTGCAGGTGCGGGTGTGTTTGAGCCTGGCAGAGAGCTTCGCGGATCTGAAGATTGAGCTCCATGAGGCGAGCGCTGGCCTGAGAAAGATCCCTGCTGGGTCCCACCACCGCCAAACAGCCCGTTTGACCTAAAGTCTGGTGCCTGAAGTAGATGTGCAGCAGTGTCTGCACTGCATCGTCCCGATCACTGCCAAATATGTCATTGGGCCACAGGCACCTGAGGAAATGAAGAAGAGCAAGGGATGCAGAAGGGTCAACGGGGGAAACAGATACTGGAATGTATCAGATTAAGGCAAAAGAGAACTTGAGTTGCTTCATTAGATTATGGATTCTAGCTAGATATGATGTTACAAGACGTTTTTCTGTTCTGCTCTGAAAGCAGCCAATCAAAAAAACAAGTTGTGCTAAATAAATGTATACACTTTCATTTTATTTGTATGTTGTAAATACTGTACAAAGTAAAAGAACTAATTCATGGTTTCTGCAGGTTTCCTCTAGTCAAATTTAAGACTTCTTAAGACCCTTTAAGACTTATACAGGGTTAAAGTCTTTTTCTAATGGCTGCTTATTATCATGAGGAATTGTGTAATTGTTTTCTTTCTCTTATTAGGGAACTTAATTTGGGGATTTTGCTATTATATAAATATAAATAATAATATGAATATAATATAATACATAAATAATGATTTATATATATGAAATGACAATACTTCTCGATATGTTTAATTGGGAAGTATTGTTGGTCATTGGATGAATGTTAGTCTGACTGAGTAGCTTTACTTGGACAAAGCAAAATTAAGACCTGTTTATAATGATTTAAGATCTACAAAACAATATTTTAGTGAATTTAAGACTTTTTAAGGCCTAAAATTAAGTTTTAAAATTGAGGGCATTTTACAACCCAGTGGACACCCTATGATGTTTGCAAATAAAATAAGGCAGTTGATTCAATCCAATGTGGCGACCCCCTGATAAATCTGAGACTAAGCCAAAGGATAGCAGGAGAGTGAGGGACTTTCTATTTAGGACTACCGGTAGCTAACAGTACATTACTTTTAAATGAGATCCAAACTCTAATGCAATATTTTTATTTGTTTTGGTCTCTCAGCAATTCAATTTTCTGCAACTTTTTTCCCAGAAGAATTTATAGGAAGATTTATAGGAAGATAGGAAGAGGACCACTGTGCTCTGAATAACAAAACAGAGCATGAATAACTCTGCAACATCAGTGTTTCTCAACCATGTTCCTGGAGGACCACCAGCTCTGCACATTTCCCAAGGCTGATTCTCAATTCCAAGAATGGAGTGAATGGACTTGTGTTTTTGTGGAGAACAGTCTTGCCAAGTTACCCCGGAAGAACGAACTCTGGAAACCGCGAGAACACAGAACACATCCTGTGAGAAATGAGATGCTGCGTTCTTCCTGATGGTCACATGACCTTCACATGTTTTTAATGGAAAATTAAATTATTTAAACATTACATCATTTATACAGCGATTTATTGCTTTTTCCCTTTTCAATATATATTTAACATGAAGAAAACCTCACAAGACAAAAAAAAAAAAAAAAAAATTTGATATTAAATATCAGCAAATAAACACCGTTAATGTGTTTATGCCTTTATAAAGATTTTCATATTAATTTTTACTTTCGCCGTCTCATTTAGGAAAACTCCTGAGGTAACTAAGTTATATCCCTGAACTTTAATAATAATAAATCTATATAAAATGCTGCGCTTTCCACCTTCTTTATTCAGCCACAGTGACTTCTGGGAATTCTCGAGCAAGTTTTGCACTCCAGTCGGCATTGACGCATGCTTGATATCAAGAACACATCCGGGAAGTTTCACGTGTCCTCCTTTCTTGCGGT